ACTGGTGTTCCTAGATGAGGTTGCCTAGCTCTGTTGTGTTGAGTGACCACAAGGTGTCTCTCTTTCCCTGCTCAGTTCTATCAAGGTGGCAGAGAGAGAAAGAAAGGAACCAGCACCTACTCCCCATGCCAGGCAGACCACTGTGCCCATTATTTATTCCTGTAATGGCTGCAGTGCCATCTGCTTGGCTTGCATTAGCAATGCACGGTGAGAGCATATTTCACCAATGGTGTCGGAATGGTTGCGCTGAGCACCCTGCAGGCCATGAATCGTGCAGATGTGCTGCTCTCCATCATTCACAAGCCCAGCGCAAAGAAGACTGTCATAGACATCCTGATCCCTCCTCTCACCATTGCCCATCCACCCCAACATCTCTTCCTTTCCATCATTACACACAGCACACACACATTCAGGGAATTCACTGACATGCCAAGATTCCCACCTTCTATTTCCAGGGCAACAACAAGGATGTGTGTGAATGGAGCGCCTTGCAAGAAACAGGGAGGCCTTCGGCATGAAAACAACAATCAATATTTGGGGACAGAAGGGAGCAAGGAAATCACTGTGTGATGTAAAGAATGTCCAGTAAAAGAGAGTCAATTTGCTGTAGTGGTTAGAGCCTGGGAGATGCAGTTACTAGGCCCCTCCTTAGGCATGACTTTCACTGGGCGGTCTTGGTCCAGTCAGCCTCACAGAACTGCTGTTGTGAGGATGAAATGGAAAGGATATATGCCTCCTTGAGCTTCCTGGGAGAAAGGCAGTATACAAATGTAGACCATTGAATAAAATGTGTATATAAGGATTTAAAAAAAATTGAGAAGGAAGCTAATCAAGGCATAAGAAATAGTCAAAGAAAATGAGTTCCCAAATCCTATGTGATCATGGCAGGGGGCATCCATTTATACCTCCATGAAATCCTGCAGCCAATCTAGTATTCAGCCATCAGTCATACAATGATGGGTAAAGAATTCAGACCCCCAGGAACCCTGGGAAAAACATGATTTTTTCACCCATCCTTACATGATTGATGACTGAATACTGGATTGGCTGGGGGGGTTTCATGGAGGTATAAATAGATGTCCCTTGCCATGGTCACATAGGATCTTGGGGGGAGGGGGAATAGTCCTTAGTGCATGGCAAAACTGGGTAGAACAATGGCTTCAGGAGAGAAAAAAGATAGACCAACACCCTACATCAGGGCTGCACAGCTCAAACCTTCACATGCAGAATTATACATTAATTCAGCTGAGCATCCCTTGCGATGAATGGAAACATTAAACAACAGAACCAAGACACAAAACATGCAAACAAATGTACAGTCAGTTGGGGATGATGGATCCCATGTCACCAAGGAGGTGAATTTTAGTTCAGACTTGAAATGAGCTGTCCAAGGTGTTTCACACATTTCGGGGTGGGGGGTTCAAAAGAGAATATAGGGAGCTCTTTTGAAGCGATCCCAAACCCAAAGTGGATTCACCTCCCAATGATATGGGACCTGCTAGCTGCTGCTGTTTACAACCAAATGTACATGTGCAACCATGCACAGTATGCATCTACACACAACTCCATTTCCACAAATTGAATGAAGACATTCCATATAGGGCAAAAACATCCAACAGCTTCCTTAAGGGAAACTAAGTATGCTGAAGACACCAACAGGATTTTGGTCAATATGCATTCAACTCTTCATTAGTTCAGTACCTTTATATTCCATCTCTTTTCTTCAGAGCTCATAGTGACATTCTTTGGTCTCCTTCTTCCTTCACATACCATACACACACTATAAAGATATTGGACATTATTGTACTTTGTTATATGGCCAACACGGCTACCCCTGGATATGTTTTGCATGAAGAAGGTTAGCTAGAGAGTGGAGAGTACAATAGAGCATCCAAGTTAAGTGAGTATTTGGTGTTGAGTCCCCACCACCACCTCAGCCCAGCACTATATAACATTGTAGTATCCCACTTAGTGGGTACAAATCTTGACTCAAACCACTAGGGGCCCGAATTTCTAGTGTGTGTGCTCCCTTCCTCAACAGCCTACAAAATAGGACACCCTCCTCTGAATTAGGAATGTGGAAATTGTATGTCCTCCTAAATATTGTTGAACTGCAACTCCCAGGACCTTTCACCAGTGGATGTGCACTTGATGGATTGGTGGATGTTGCAGTTCAAGAGTATCCCAGAGGAAGATACATGCTCCCCATTCCTGCTTCAAAGGAACACAGTCATAACCAGGGAGATGAGGGTAGCTTTCTTAGAAATAATACATAGAAGTAGATAAATTTGTTCTTTAGAAAGTGAGAAGGGTGATGGGTTTGGGGATAAAAGGGTGACCTCACCAGTAAGAACTGGATATCTCATTCACTTTATGGTAAGCTTTCCTTCCACCATACCTTGCTTTGTCAAGTTTTCCATTGCTTTCATAGGGAGGGGGAACCTCTCGGGTATTTCAAATGCCCTGCCAATAAGAAAGGATTATGGGAGCTGTAGAGCAAAATATCCAGAGGGCTTGAGGTTCCCCACCTCTGGTTTATGTTGGATTATGACTTTGGAGACCAGGGTTCAATTCCCAGCTCAGCCATGAAACCTACTGGATGACTTTGAATGAGTCACACTCTCTCAGCCTCAGAGGAAAGCAATGGCAAACCCCCTCTGAAGAAACTTGCCAAGAAAACCCCATGATAGAGTCATCTTAGGGTTGCCATAAGTCGGAAACATCTTGAAGGCGCACAACAACAGTAACTCCATGGCATCATTCTTTCCTGTCCTCCTAGAGGCCACCATTGACCCTGAGTGAAGACACTCACTACATTGGGCCTGCCCAATTTGTGAACTAATAAGCCCTGTCTCTCCTGGAACCTCTGCTCTTGATTCTCTCTGCTGGGAAAGGAAGGTCTTTGCAGCCCAGGGGCCTTTCATGCTACACAATTGTAGCACTATGATTCCCTTTCAGCTGCCATGGTTCCACCCTATGAAATCCTGGGATTTGTAGTTTGGTCAGTGGCACCAGAAGAGATCCTTGGCTGAGGCTCCTCAAGCCCCTTTCCCTAAACTGTAAATCCCAGGTTCCATGGGCTGTTGCCATAGCAATTAAAGTGGAATCATAATGATATAGTTCTGTAGTGTAAAAGGGCAAAACTCAGGTCTGATCTCAGAACTTGCTGTAAGGGGTCACCATCCCTAACAAGAGAAGGAAGAAGTCACAGCAATGGAGCAGCCATGTAGTACCTCTCTGTAGCACATCAGTCAGAGGAGAATGTGTGTAGGAAATGGCTGGGGATGATGAAACATACAATACAACACATTTGAAGAGTATCAGCTTCCTGACATTGCTACAGTTACACTACTCGTGTGAGTAGATCATGCCTGTGTGACAAGAATTAATTAACATCAGTTAAGTGAGATCTCTTAAAAGGGGCAACTTTATTGGAATTTGAACAGTAACTTCACTGCAGAATCAATTAAATAGGAGGACATACTAAAGAGCCAACCAATTTGACATTTCTGAGTTGGTTCTTTATCCAATGCCTAGTTTTCTCAGATTTTTTGTAAAGAAAAGGGTGGGGGTAGCCCACCTAGGCAGCTGAAGGACTACAATGTTCAGGTCACAAATTCAAATTACTTACTCAACTTACTTACTCAACTTACTCCAGCAAGATTAATTGTGTTAATGGATTTTGTCTCAGTAACTGATCTTACTTCCCCCTTACACACTCTATATGGAAAATAAAGGATCCATATTACTGTGGCTGAGAGTCAGGGTGGTGTAGTGGTTTGAATGTTGGACTACAATTCTGGAGATCAGGGTTCGAATTCCCACTCAGCCATGGAAACCCACTGGGTGACCCTGGCCAAGTCACATTCTGTCAGCCTCAGAGGAAGACAGTGGGCAAACCCTGTTTGAACAAATCAATCTTACCAAAAAAATCCTATGATAGGTTTGCCTTAGGATCAGCATAATTCAAAAACAACTTGAAGGCACAAATCAACAAATTCTTGTGGCCAGACATTTATTTATAACTACAAAATCTGGGGGACTTCTGAAAATTGTAGGAACACTTGAAATCTATAGGAAATAAACTCCAAAAACAAAACAGAACAAACCCCCAAATCCAAAGGACAATGTGGTGGGAGTAAAATCATGGATGGCATTTTTCATTTTGGTAAAGCTTTAATGCAAGCTTTTACCTTAAATGGCAATATATCATGAACTTAATAGACAATTTTTCCTCTTCTAATGAAAATCTAATTGAATTAGGGTTTTTTAAAAATCTTATTAACAATTAATTAAATGCATTCATCCTTTCCTACTGATTTGACTATCTCTGCTCCTATGATCTCTTACTTTCTGGCAACTGTCACCTAGATCAGCCCCACACCAAACTGAAACAAAGCAAATCTGCCCCAAATCTCATTTTACATCTCCAGTTTTGGAACGGCAAAATTCTTGGTAAGAAAAAGCTGTATTCTCTCTCTCTCTCTCTCTCTCTCTCTCTCTCTCTCTCTTCCAGGTGGGTGTGCATCAATAAACAACTGGGCAGGGGGAGGGAATGATTTACCAATGCTCCCGAGAGACTTGCAGATGTATAATAGAGATGGATATGAGCCCTTCATTTCAAAGCCTTCCAGATGGTTGTAAACTAAGAGTTATAAGCCAAGTCTCTGGCAACTGGATGGCTGCTCATCAACTATCCATGGGCTGCTTGTTATTTGGGATAGATGCTCACTGCTGCCAGCGCCACTCCTAGATCTGATGGTTATGCTGCGGCTCCTGTCCTCCTTGAGTGGGATAATTATCTTCTAAAATACGCATTTACATGATCGTAACATCAGATACTTGGTTCCTGGGAATTTGCTCTGATATGTCCCAGTTGCTCCTGTCACAAAGGATGTCCATGGTTACCAGGGGAAGGAAATAAGATAGGGATCAGGAGACAACAGGAAGAACAAAGCCAAGTTTTGCAAACACATGGGTTTGTGAAATGAGAAATAAAAGGCTTTATGTGCACCTCTGCTTAGATCAGGTCTGCTCCAACTGTGGCATAGCAAAGTAGATAGGTGGAGCCCCCTCTGTAACTATGTATCATGCAATTGAAATTTAGGGATTCAGGAAGATGTTTTATGTCCAGCTGGACTGTTTGTCCATCTCAATCCAGAATGGCCTTCTCAGATCAGTAGCAACTTTCCCGAGTTGTAGCAGTCATGAGGCAAATGAGATGACTGACTCAGGTGGCAAGATGGGGAATGGTGGTAAGGCATGGGAGGACAAAGCTTTGTGTGCCAGAGAGATTAGCCTCCATCTTCTAAATGGGCCTGCTGCCCTCAGGTGCAGTGGGGTCTATCACCAGCACTGAAGCCTTCAGCTGCCAAACCAGTTGGATTCTGTACCTGGAAAAGCAGCATTGGTATGTGGGTGTGTTGTCATCTAATCTTTCACCTTCTCAGGAAGCAAAATATCCCAGATTAGTCCTGGGGTCCAAGACACAGAATCCCTCCTGTCACCTGCTTCTTTTAACAGGAGATTCATTGTGAGGATTGAACTGAAATTCTGCATGTCTATATCATATTCACTAAGCTACAGTTCACACATACACTCTTTTACATCTACTCTTTTTTCTTGGTTCCAGTAGTATCAACACACCCACACAGCCATTAGCTCCAGCATACAACTGGAGTGGAGCAAAGTTGCTTTTGGACTGCAGCTCCCAGACTCTCCCAGTGTAGCTGTGGGATTTGGAGAGTAGTAGATCCCCCCCAAAGTAACTTTTCCCATCTCTGCATATAACATCACTGTCCTTTTCCATTTGATCCCAAATCTGAGTGCCTGTACCTAAAAACCAGCAACATCTTTTCAATAGGTAAACAAAGGGATAAATTCAGTTGTTCTATACATCTCCAGAAAATCAGCCTGGTATAGTGGTTAGAGTGTTGGACTATAATTCTGAATGGCAGGGTTCAAATCCCCAATCATCTGTGGAAATCAGCTGGGTGACCTTGGGCAAGTCATACTCTCTCAGCCTCAGGGGAAGGCAGTGGCAAACCCTCCCTGAACAAAGCTTGCCAAGAAAATCCTGTAATAGGTTCACCTTAGGGTCGTCATAAGTCGACACTACTTGAGGGCACACAACAACACTTCTGCAACTAGTGTACAGGGAAGGAGGAGTACATGACTTTCCATGAAACATTTGGTAAACAAATTCAGTCTGCCTCTGAACATTATCAGACATAAAATGAGATCTGACATTGCTTCAGTGCAGCATAAGTATCTTCCAGTGGAACTGTGTTACATAACTGACCATTGAGGCATTTTGTTGGTGATATGCCAATACTGAATGTATGTAGATAAATGGTCATGGCACCTGGCTGACAACTCACTGTGCAATGTATACAGACAATGTGTACAGGCAGTGGACATTCACACACTACTCTGTGTACTTTAATGTGCTACTGTATGTGCTAGGATTCCAAATGCACAATTATACTTACACCATCATCCATCATCAACTTGATATGACTGACCACTGTTCAAATAAAACAATTCCAATGCACAGCACAATTTATGCTTATGTATGCCACCAAAAAGCTGCCTCAATGGTCAGCCTGATTGGCTGTTTCATTCCTCCACTGAGCTCCAAAGTGCTGAGGTGAAATGTCATGTGGCAGTAACAATTCTGTGGCTTTAAACTTGAATGCACCCCAGTCATGTAAAGAAGGGAATCTCATTTTAAGAAAATGTTTTCATGTGCCAGGACTTGAAGTGACTGCCTCCTGCCCATGTCTTACCTTCCCTCAGACTCTCTTCCCAAATATTTTACTCTCTGTCAGAGTAGAGTTGTCATTTGACCCGGAAAACCTGGAAAATCCCTGACTGAAGGGACTAAAAAAATGTCCCAGTTGGCTGGGCCAGTTAAAGTAGTAAATCCCAGATTTCTCCTTTGGTTTGGGCTGATAGTAGGTTAAAATGTAGCAGTGACAATGAATCAGGAAACTGTGCAAGAAGACTGGCACTGGGGGGAGCCTCATCCCACTCTGCAGGCTCCAGTTGCTACTGCACAGGCATAGCATTGCCACCT